AGATTTAATGATTCTAAGCCTCCCCGTATTCTAATTAATGACCTTAATTGTTTTAAAAATGATTAGCCATAAAATTCAAAAAGTAGGTCAAGGTGACCTACTTTTTAGTTGACGTACTTTGAGGACCCAAGATGCATCAACTGACAAAGTTTGATGATCATAGGCCTTAAATTGTTCAAAATATACCTCTAAATCATTTTGAAAAAGAATGGCCGCAAAATTTAAAAAGTAGGTCACCGTGACCTACTTTTGAGTCAACATGATATGAGGTCCTTAGATGCACCAACTGACAAGATTTGATGATCCTAGTCCTTATAGTAAGCAAAATATCAACATTCTAATAAAATGTAATTTTTGGTCAACTTTGAAGTTACCTTGAGACCACGCCCTTTGCCCCAGGGTAAATCCCCGTGCAAATTTTAATCTACAACATATCCTCATCCTTTTGTGTAAGTTTGGTGATAATCTGCCCAGTGGTTCTTGAGAAGAAGATTTTTTTAGCAACCAGTACTTTTGTTTCTATTTTCCTAATTATCTCCCCTTGTTAAAGGGTCACAACCCCAGTTTTAGTATAAAAGGGAGCCCTTGGGCCAAGGATACCCTGTGACAAATTTGACAATAATTGGCCAAGGGGTTCTTGAGTTATGGCCCATATTCTAAAAAGTTTGCGCATACCGCACACCGCACAAATGGCCATAGCATTAGCTCTTTGAGCCTTTGGCTCAGAAGAGCTAACAATCAGGACACAGGGATATACTATACAATCAGGATACAGGGATATAATATACAATCAGGACACAGGGATATAATATACTTTCAGAACACAGGGATATAATATACAATCAGGACACAGGGATATAATATACTTTCAGAACACAGGGATATAATATACAATCAGGACACAGGGATATTATATACCATCAGAACACAGGGATATAATATACAATCAGGACACAGGGATATAATATACTATCAGTTTGCAGGGATATAATATACTATCTGTATACAGGGATATAATATACAATCAGGACACATGGATATAATATACAATCAGTACACAGGGATATAATATACTGTCAGGACACAGGGATATAATATGGCTGTGTTGGGTCACTTTGTTTTTTATTTTGTCTTCTTGTTTACGAAAAAATTCCAATGAATTTAGAGTTTGGTGATCAATACCGATTACATTTACCACTCATATATGATTTAATATACTAAATTGTAACACATATTATCATTTTCACTACTCTGAGCCCACAACTTAAAGCTTCAAACTAACTTTGAATGGGTCCACTGTGACTTAAAAGCTTTTACTTTGACATTTCTTAAAATAAAACCAGTTATATGGGAGAGTAAAATACAGGAATCAATCCTTTTTGAATTTAAATGTTAAAGGCCCCCATAAAGGCTTCAAAAGGATAAGTTTTTGCAATAGTATAATTTCAGTTAAATATGTGAATTTTGTTCTGGAGCAAGCTTGCACTCAGTGAATTCTATACTCAACAAGAGGCCCATGGGCCACATCGCTCACCTGAGTAACTTTGGCCATGCTGTTCTTTATCAGATTTCCCCCCTTTTAATATACCTATTGTGGCCCCGCCCTACCCCCGGGGGTCATGATTTGAACAATTTAGAATCTACACTACCTCAGGATGCTTCCAAATATGTCTCAGCTTTATTGGTCCTTTGGTTCTTGAAAAGAAGATTTTTAAAGATTTTTCCTATATATTTCAATGTAAAACTTGGATTCCCTATTGTGGCCCGCCCTACCCCCGGGGGTCAAGATTTAAACAGTTTCGAATCTACACTACCCCAGGATGCTTCCATATAAGTTTCAGCTTTTCTGGCCAAGTGGTTCTTGAGAAGGAGATTTTTAAAGATTTTTCCTATATATTTCAATGTAAAACTTGGATTCCCTATTGTGGCCCCGCCCTACCCCCGGGGGTCATGATTTGAACAATTTATAATCTACACTACCCCAGGATGCTTCCATATAAGTTTCAGCTTTTCTGGCCCTGTGGTTCTTGAGAAGAAGATTTTTAAAGATTTTTCTTATGTATTTCAATGTAAAACTTGGATTCCCTATTGTGGCCCTGCCCTATCCCGGGGGTCATGATTTTAACAATTTAGAATCTACACTATCCCAGGATGCTTCCACATAAGTTTCAGCTTTTCTGGCCCAGTGGGTCTTGAGAAGAAGATTTTTTAATGACCCCACCCTATTTTTGTCTTTTCTTGATTATCTCCCCTTGTAAGGGGACTTGGCCCTTTATTTTAACAATTTACACTCCCCTCTACCCAAGGATACTTTGTACCAAGTTTGGTTAAAATTGGCCCAGTGGTTCTTGAGAAGAAGTTGAAAATGTGAAAAGTTTACAGACGGATGGACAGCTAGACGGACAGACGGACGGACGACGGACAACGGGTGATCAGAAAAGCTCACTTGAGCTTTCAGCTCAGGTGAGCTAAAAATTGAACAAATTTTGCCCATTTTGTCCTTTATCTTGAAAATAATGGAAAATTCAAATAGTTTGTGATGTCACAGAAACAAGCATTGACGATAAACTACCGTATATACTCGCCTATAAGTCGGGTTTTTTGGAAGTTAAACTTTGGTCCAAAACTCTTTATCCAACTTATACGCGAGTTATAAAAAGATTGGTATTTTAGTTGGTCAACCCCTCTAATTTAAGCTTAAAAAATACAACCGACTTATAGGCGGACCGACTTATAGGCTAGTATATACGGTACTTCTAAACTATAATATTTTTCATCGATTAAGAATTTTCATAAAATATATGCAATTCTATACATTTCTAGAGATTTTCAAAAACTGTCTCTTATTGGGGCAAAAATATGCTTTTATCGCATATAGTTCTTTGCTAGAAAAATATTTAAAATTGGGCATAAGGAGCTTTTGTGCCCCATTATGCTTATTTTCTGTCCTTGAAACTTCCATTCTGTCCAGAAGTTTTCTGCTCCTCTTAAAAAAAAATCAGACATAACAGTTGTCTTTTTTTTTTCAACAACTCTGCTTCAATGTTTTTTTATTCCAAGTTATAACAAAATAAAAATAAAATTAAGCAAGGAAGCACTGGATTTACTCACTGTGGTAAGTAAACAATTTATGATATAACTGAAGCCCTATCCCATGCTTGAGCAGTTCATTACAGTACTATGATACAAGAACATGTTTTGTAGATTTACATGTAATAGGCAGGTAATAATATTGGATTATGATATAGGTTTTCTCCATTTTAAATGTTTATGCACATTTTTTATGACAATTTAACACCAGAGGATGGCAAAATGAATAAACCCATAAAAAAAGGCATTCTAAGTGCAGCTACAGTGCAGTTACAGCTTACATTCATAATTCAGTGGACATGTGGGAAAATGCACATCGTAAGTACATAATTTCATTTTCTAAACATCTACCTACCCATGGCCTGCTTTTGAATAGGTTAACTGAAATGTATCTGACAGCTCAGTGCTTTTAAAATGAGTGAAATATTACTGAAGCAGCAGTTCAACTTTTCCGCATTTCAACACTGCTTTTCTGTGAAAAAATCCTGCTTTTCCGCAACATGTAATACTGCTTTTCTGCGATTATATTTTTTACTTTTCCTCTACTTATTTTAACATGTACCTCTTCTGTTAGCCAGGTGAAACCCAATGCTACTGCTTACCATGTGGAGGTGGAAGTAACAATTTAATCAGGATAGGTCTTGTTTGTTTGTTTGTTTGTTGTTTAACGTCCCTCTCGAGAATTTTTCACTCATATGGAGATGCCACCACTTGCTGGTGGAGAGCTGCAAATTTTGTAAAATACTCGGCACTTACGGCCATTGAGCAGTGAGGGATCCTTTTCGTGCCAGCACCTACTGCGACACAGGACCTCAGTTTATACGGTCTCATCCAAAGGACCGGTCTCCACTTCCCACAGTGGGATTTGAACCCGCGACGTAAGGATCAACTCCTTACTTCGCGACTCTAGAGCAGACGCTCTACCACTGCGCCACGCAGGCGACAGGATAGGTCTTGTAAATCACTGGATAAAAACAAAGATTTAAAACAATTAGCACTCGATAAATCAAAGATTAAAAACAAGCACCTGTCTAGATAATTAAACAATCACAGAACAAATATGCATGCTCTCACATTTCGGTGCGAGTTCCATATATATAATACATATTTTGCCACAATTTATTTCTGTATGAACAATCTCCATAATGTCTAGAACCTATTACCGACCACAGTAAAATGCAAAAATTATTCAACTTTTATCACACTCGTGACTGTGAGTAAATACTCACTATCAAGTATAACTCTTGAGAAAATACTGCTGAAATTTCGCCAACGTTTGGTGTTAAGCACTAACCGTGACCCTTTAAAAATCGCAGAAAGGAGGTATCAAAAAATAGAGATAACACATAACATATAGTAAAAAACAATCACGGAAAAGCATTGTGAAGTAGTCACGGAAAAGTAGACAGGTTGCAAAATAAAATCGTGGAAAAGCAAGACGGCCACTGAAGCAACATGAAGCAGTCATCATGGCTGGGGGAGGAGGGGGGACATTCCCCCCTCAAATAATTTTGCAGATGTATAGTATACTATAGAAAACATAACTTTATACTTAATATTTGTGCCTCCTGAAAAATAATGTCTGATGACATTTTTTTTTTGTCAAGGAATTTGTGCTTGGTGTAGTGCCCACCCAAACTGAAAACATTTGGTTGCCCCCCCCCCCCCCCAACACATCAAGAAAAAAAAAACAAAATTACTTCCTATGGGCCTGGTCAAAGAACATTATAACCCTCTACTTTACAATTTTTTTAGGTGACAAGTTTGTGCACCTTCCTTTTGAACAGTGAACATGGAAGACTCGAGATGCTCTCTGACAAATGGCAGCATGACAGCCAAAATTGTTATTAATAAATATGGTAATTATAAAAAAAATCTTTGCTTGCAATGATACTTACTCTGGTCTTGACATGAATATTTTGCACAATTCCCAACTAATTTTTATCCAGAAAATGAGGTAAATGTAAAACCATAAAAATTCTTCACATCACGGTAATTCCATCTGTAATGAATGACGATATTTACAAATAAGACATCGAAATATACACACATGCATGTATACTACTCTACACATAAATATCCTTCTTCTGCAGTGTTAAGTGCTGGCCTTGTGTCATCACTCCATAATGCATTCATAAATGCATATATCAACAACTCATAAGTAAGGCTAGCTTATTCATGCCCTTATCATAAAAATAACCTTTGTCTACAATTCCATATTTGTTGGAAAAGATCTGAATGCTAAACCGACTTGATTAGGACAAGGCTATTACATAATCACGAGACCGTAATTCTATCACATACCGAAATAACCATAACAAATCACTAGGGCCTATTTATGACCAGATAAAAAAAATATGCCCTCCCACACACCTCATCAAGCTTGTAAACATACCATTGAATTACAAACTAGGTTAGCGAGGTCTGCACATTCTGAACGAGGACAAAAAAATGTCACATTAATACGATCATCAGTATTTCCAAAGAAATTATGCGGACTGTGAAATTAAAACATGCATATTTAATTAACCAGCAACTATCACACCATTAGTCAATTCCAAATCTTTCTGGTCTGATAATAACTCTTAAAATTTTTGCTTGACACATTATGAATAAAAAATCAACTGTTTTCCTGTCAAAAAATAAAATAAATTTCTGATCCTTATCATACTGCCTATAAGCTTATCTGTCCATGTTACTTATCTTGAGGGCACCTTACCATTATAAATAATTATTCCTTGTGATTTGAAAAAATAATCAATAGACAATTTTAAATAGAAAGATTTTACTGATCATGCATACCAAGGGTGCACCTACATCCTGGTTTATCATAAGCTTTGTGAATTCATGTTACAACTAAGACAATTTCATTTTATCTGAGATATATATAAGTTAACATACATTATGATATAAGTAGTTATGTAGGTACATATGTTTGATGTACATATACTAAGCAAACACATAAACATGTATTAAAAGATCAATCCAAAAAGAACAGAGTGAGTGATTTCATCAATTTTATCAGTAAGCACGATGAGTTTATAATAAAGAAGTCTTTAACAGTTTTTATACATGTACATATAGTTACTTTATCTCTGTCAGACATGAATTAATTTTAAGGTTTTAATTGTACTACTAATATAAATTCTCAAATATGCTTTACAAAACTATGACACCTCACATTAATTAAAGATTTATCAGAATTTTTTCAGTTTTGTTTGCACTTTGTGATGCAAATTGCATCATTATACATATACTTGTCTTAACCACACTTACTGGTCAACACTAGAAACACATCAATGATCCTAAGCTACACAAATTCAGCCATGCATACCAAAAAACAAACAAACAAACAAACAAAACCAGGCACAGTATCATTTTTTTACATCAGTATCTACCTGAAAGTCATCCAAGCCAAATATTTTTCTAAGGTGAGTCCTTCAGAGGATTCTATCCTGCTACATTCAGAGATGTCCGAGTTTCCATGAATGTAAGTATAGTGAATTAATACCTACAAAATATCAACCGATTTCTACTCTCAGCCGCAGTATAAACAAACATACTGTCCACATGCTGCGCAATCAATAAAAGCCCCCATATAATGAATACAATCATATAAATACACACTAATTAAGTCAACCTTTCATTTTCTCCCCAAATCTCATTCAACTGGTTATCAAAAATCTGATATAACGGGCAGACAATATTGGTGCTTTAAGGGAAATTCCCATGCAATATTGTTTTGATTTATTTATAAATAGATGATTTTGTACTATAGTAGCTGAATCGGTGCTGAATTGAGGCATTACTGAACTAGGCAAAATCCAGACAGTGCTAGACCTAAAAAAAGTAGTTAATTATTTATTCATCATTAATCAGAGTTATTCATGATTCACACACAGCATTGGCTGCGCTTAGAAAATTCAATTAAAGGCTAGGACACCTACAACAGGTCAGGGTGACATTGCTTGGTCTAAATATGATCTCAAGAAAAATTGGAATATTGGAATTTTCTGATAATAGGAAAGATTCCGTCACAGTGTGAAGCAGGATGAAAGGAGACATCACGCTGACCAGGAACATGCAGTTCTATCCAGAATTGGTCCACACAAATTAAGGTGCTCTCATATGACACTAGAGCATTAATAAAAAAATTAACCTTATTTTTAACCTTGATTAAAATGAACTACTTAAATAATTAATATATACAGCAAACCTCGTTATCTCGAACTCAATGGGAACGAGAAAAAATTTCAGAATATCCAAGGATTTGAGATATCCAGGGTAAAATACTTAAAGAATAAAGGTGTTGGGACTTCGAAAACATATCCATGGTACTGTAAAGGGGGAAAATAACTTCTGGTGTATATATTGGCTATATTCACAGTGTCAATATATCTGTGAATTCAAGAAACAGTGAATAAGTTTTCAATAAAACTTCTTATTTTGTTTCATTTTTTGGAAATTTGACTCTTAGACTAGACTACTGGTAGATATATTTATGAACAAAGTCATTCAGTAAAGACTTTTTGCTAATGATTTATAGTATTCATTTGAAATTAGTAAATATTTTTTAATTCAAGTCCCTTTAATTAAAGTGCTAGGCTCACTTTATGCTTAAAATTGCCCTGTAGATATACCAATTTATTGAATTACACTATGTTCCATCTCAATAGTAGATACTAACTGCTTTCATTTCCTGTTGAAAAAGTTTCCTCTAAAAGTCCAGGTACTGGAAAACAAGCATTGTGAAATCGCAATGTTCTTGAATTTTATAGAAAACAGGTTTATGTAAGTACTTTCAGTGAAGGAAAAAATATGAGTGCACTCCTTGATCCAAAAAGTAAAACGTTTTGTAACCTTCAGAAAAAGACCTGGGGGACCCCCTCTACAAGATCTCCAATGTGCCCTCTTACACAGACCTAAGGGACCCTCTCTCCCAGATCTCCAAAGTGACATCCTACACAGACCTGGGGGACCCCCTCTACCAGATCTCCAAAGTGACCTCCTACAGAGACCTGGGAGACCATTTCTCCCAAATCTCCAAAGTGACCTCCTACACAGACCTGGAGGCCCCCCTCTACTAGATCTCCAAAGTGACCTCCTACACAGACCTGGGGGACCCCCTCTCCCAGATCTCCAAAGTGACCTCCTACACAGACCTGGGGGACCCCCTCTCCCAGATCTCCAAAGTGACCTCCTACAGAGACCTGGGGGACCCATCTACTAGATCTCCAATGTGACCTCCTACACAGACCTGGGGGACCCCCTCTACTAGATCTCCAATGTGCCCTTCTACAAAGATCTGGGGGACCTCTCTCCAATATCTCCAAAGTGACCTTCTACACAGATCTGGGGGACCCCCTCTCCAAGACCTCCAAAGTGACCTCCTACACAGACCTGGAGGACCCCCTCTCAGAGATCTCCAATGTGACCTCCTACAGAGACCGGGGAGACCCCTCTCCCAAATCTCCAATGTGACCTCCTACAGAGACCTGGGAGACCCCCTCTCCCAGATCTCTAACATGACCTCCTACACAGACCTGGGGGACCCTCTCTCCTAGATTGCTAATGTGCCCTGGTGGGTTACAGTCTATGAAACAATCCAACCATTTAAAGCCTGAATCCGCTGTTCTGTCTGATGAGAAGTAAAATCTATGCTATTGATTGGCCTTCTGCTGGCGATCAACAGATATTTATTACTATGACCTGTCATAGTCATTTAAAGGGATCTGGTATACATGCATTTAGATTGGTAATTAACTGTGACATATGATTGGTAATCAGTTATACATATATATATATATATATATATATATATATATATATGTGCCATACAGTCACATGATTAAAGTACATATATTTCAGGTCTGCATGTGTATATAAATATTGTTGTTCCATGCATATTTGTAAAATTTAAAATCAAAAATCATGCAACATTTTTTAGTGTCTATGAAACAAAATTATTTAAAACACCCACATTTCTTATGTAAATTTCTTTTATAAATTGTTTGTTTACAAAACAGTTTTGAATTGCAGTCATGATGCAAACAGAAATAAACTTTTCAAATAAAAGAGGCATGCTTGAATACACATGCATGCACATATACAATATTTTTACAAAATATAAAGAAATCCATTCACACCTTTAAAGAAAAGTATATATCTCGTTACATAGTCAACCCACCTACGCATTTGCCATTGCCTCCAACTTCCAACTTAAATCTGAAGCTGATACCCAATCTTGTTACTTCCAACCATTTAAAAGGCGTTTCATCAAAAGCAGTGCATGGTCTCACAAGATTTCTGAAAAATATTCACAAAACAATAACTATGTGTATATTGAATCAATGTGATATAGTAAGAGTCAGCAAAATTAATAACAATCTATCATTACCACTGAAATACTGGACGTGTCTAAGATGTAATCATTCTTAGTACAAGAGTATAATTGCTAAAGGATAAACTGCTCTCACTTCTGTGTTTTTTCCATGAAAAACCATGTATCAGCTTGCAATATACTATAGGTAAAATATCAGATATATTAATTGTGTTTTCCTAATGCAGTAGAGGACAGATATCTATGTAACAGTATATTTGCTTAAGATATGCTGTAACCCCTGCTTGTTCAAGATGTTCTGCAATAAATTTATCAAGGGAGAGCAAAGGTGATTATAAGAATAATTTAACAGTGAAAAATACAAGTTTACGGCACGCTCAACAAGATAACTATAGATAGCTGTCTTACATCTGAAAGATCACACAAATAACAGATGAACAAGATCCGCTCTTAACGAGAATCTGTCTTGTACAGTAAGGCCTATTAAATATTTAATACCATAAACCACTCATAGATTTCCTCTAAAATCTAAAATGACATTTAAAAAACATTCTCAATAATCAGAATCCGTCTAAAATAAAATCTAAGTATTGT